AAAAAAAAAAAAGTGGTTTATTATTAAGATTGATCAGGGATAATATAAATTGTATTTGAAGTAATTGACTTAATCCTATTCTGGATAGGATTTTGTTTTTTATACAGTTGACCCTTGAACAATGCAGGGGTTAGGAGAACTGAACCCCTGGACACTTGAAAATACTCGTATAATTTTGACTCCCCCAAAACTTAACTACTAATAGCCTACTATTGACTGGAAGCCTTACCGGTAACATAAATAGTCGATTAACACATATTTTTTATATGTATTATAAACTATCCATATGGTAAAGTAAGCTAAAGAGAAGAAAAGGTTATTAAGAAAATCATAAGGAAGATGGGGTGCCTGCATGGCTCAGTAGGTTGGCCATCCGAATCTTGATTTCTGCTCAGGTCATGATCTCGTGGTTCTGGAATTGAGCCCCTTGTTGGGCTCCGTGCTCAGCGGGGAGTCTGAGAATTTTCTCTCCCTCTCCTTTTGCCCCTCCCCCCACTTGCACACTTTCTCCCTTTCTATCTCTAAAATAAATAAATAAATCCTTTTTAAAAAAACCATAAGGAAGAGAAAATACATTTGCAGTACTATACTGTAAAAAAATCTGTGTATAGGTGGACCTGTACAGTTCACACTTGTGTTTTTCAAGGGCTAAATGTATATTTTAAATGTATTTTTATTGCAGCTACTATATATTGAGTACTTAGGAGCCAGGCAGTATGCTAAGCGTTTTATATGTTACTTTCATTCTTTTGTCAATCTTAAAGGATAAGTGGTAGTATCTACCTGATTTTCAAAATAGGAAACTGAGGCTTAATGTAATAAAGAACTTGCTTAAGCCTATTTGTTAATAAGTGACAGAGCAGGAGGTTAAAGCATAGGTCAGTCTTGTTTTGTAGCCTATGCTCTAAAGAGCTTATACTATACTATTTAAGCTCAGACATTAAGTCATAACAGAGTCTGGATTGTTTCAGTGTTCGGCGTTGCTGATTCTCTGACTTGTAAAGACATCTTTATGTCTCCCAAAGTTGATCCTTTTCCTATATATTTATTATGTACTTAAATAGACTTCTATTGTGAGGAACATGAATGGGCTCTATTTAATTTTGACAGCCAAATTCCACATTAAGGGATTATAATTATTCAAGTATATACAAACTGGAACTTTTTACCTACTTTCAAGTGAGGAATAGCATTAAGTTTTGTATTGCAATGTTAAGGATTTTGTAGAGAAAGCAAAAGCTACATGTATTTACTAAAAACTAAAATTTCTGTTCTCTTATTCTGAAGCCTTTTATTTGCATAACTGGGAGCTTGTTAGATTCATAATCTCAGCCTGCACTTCACATGTTCTGAATCAGTCTGAATTTTAACAGGATTCCCAGGTGATTCTTCAGTGTATTAAAGTTTGAAAAGCCCTATGAAAAGAGTTTAAGTCAGTATTTTAAAAATAAGTGAAAAAGAATTTTACCAGAGAGGTGGAAGATTTTTTCTCACCTGAGTGTATTTTTTGTACATTGTAGGTGGGTCACCACCACAACCAGTTGTACCAGCTCATAAAGATAAAAGTGGAGCTCCACCAGTTAGAAGTATCTATGATGATATTTCTAGCCCAGGACTTGGATCAACACCTTTAACTTCAAGAAGACAGGTGACATACATACCCGTTTATGATCCATAATGATTTCATGTTTTTGTGTGGATGCACAGTGAGGATCAGTAATTTAAAGTGTTTTTCTGAGGTCTGCTTTAGTGTAACTGTGTTGCACAGAATAAGCACTAAGGACATTTATCATAGAATCTACTTAAATTGTGTTTATCATGAAATGTACTTAAAAATGTAATAGAACACCAGATTATTTTCTCATATCAGTAATTCTGTGGTTTTACAGGTTCTGATCTTATTATTTCAGTTGGTCCTTCCTCAGGGTGAATTTGCAAAGTAGCTATTATGGGCTTCATTTTATCATTGAGGAAACTAGGACACAGAAAGCTTAAGTAATTTGTCAACTAGTCCAGTGGAGCCAGGCTTTAAGCCCAGGCAGTCTTCAATCTAGAGCCAGTGTTTGTAACAGCCATGCTGTGCTAACACTACTGTGGTTAACTCTTGTTTGTAGTGGAAAGGTAGTATGGATTTTTCTTTTAAGTATGAAGTTTAGTAGCCTGTATAGTCACAAGTGTTCTGTCACTACTGTGCTTAGCAGGACTTAAAACAGTGTGTCAGTTAAACTGATAAGTTATTTGAATAAAGACATTTCTGCTGTTTGGTTTGGAGAAATGTTTTGTCTTTCCCTAAACCAAATTTAGCATAGTTATTGGAAAGTTTAAGAATGGTAGGAAGCATCTTTCAGTAAATTTTGACTATTTATAGGCTTGATACGCCTAGCATACTGGGCCTACTTGTTAAGCAAAGCAAAATTAATTCATTGTGTTAAACACCTACCTTCTCTCCAACACTTTTATAACTGCTCTACTGTCCCAACACAGTAGCCACTGGCCAAGTGTGGCTGTTGACACTTGAAATGTGGCCAGTCCTGTACTTAATTGAGATATACTTAAGTGTAAAATACACACCAGATTTTGAAGACTTAGAAAGAATGTACTATCTCACTTACTTTTTTATGTTAATTACATATTGAAAGTGATAATAATTTGGATGTACTAGATTAAATAAACTGTACTTGTTTTTACTTTCTTAATGTGTCTACTATAAAATTTAAAATTACTTATACTGCTTGTGTTATATTTGGACAGTGGTATTCTAACTAAATCAGAATATTCTGGCTTGGGATATTTCTCTAAAGGTTGACAAGTAAATCGGATGTTTAGTTTGGTGTGAGAACCACTGGCTTATAAATTCATGCTAGTTTTCATTACTTCTCTGATGATCAATGAAAGCAAAGGTTGTTTACAGTTATTGCTATGTTCAACATGTTTAAAAGCCTTGTGTCATAATTTGTAGAGAATGTTTTTGACTTAAAGGTTGGTAAGAATATTATTATTAAAGCCCAAATTAGTTTTGCCCCCTGAGGCTTTGCTCAGCCTCTTTCTAATCATGAAAGAAACTGGCATTAAGAATTGAACAATAAAGTATTTTGTATCTCTCTTAACATTATTTCAACATTTGGTTCTGGTTGCTAGATAATAGCCAGATTTTAGATTTCCTTAATCAGAGTTTGTTACAAAAGAATCTATATTTGTATATTTACTTCTGGAGAAAGAGTCTATTCTTACTCTTGATTAGATATTGTTGTCTTTGTTTATAGAAGGACTTTTAACTGTTTAATCTTTTTCTTTTTTTAAAGATTTTATTTATTTATTTATTTGAGAGAGAGAGAGAGAGAAACAGCATGAGAGGGGAGAGGGTCAGAGGGAGAAGCAGGCTCCCCGCTGAGCCGGGAGCCCAATGTGGGACTTGATCCCAGGACTCTGGGACCATGACCTGAGCCGAAGGCAGTCGCTTAACCAACTGAGCCACCCAGGCGCCCTTAACTGTTTAATCTTTAATTTTCTCACATTTAAAGGAATTAGTATTGATAATTTTCCTGCTTTGTAACTTCCTACTAGTAGAGACAGAGATGTGCTGTCTTTATTATATAGACTGATTTGAATCTGTATTATTTCATGGTTTGTAAATATCTGTTTAAAAATGGGATTCTGCCATCTTTGTATTTTTCTGTGTGAGCTTGGTGATATGAAGAATCACCATGCTCTCTGTTATTTCAAATACTATACCTTAGGAACTAAAAACAAATAGCAGAGTTACTTTCTACTAAAAATAGTGCCTTTATCTGATGTAGCTTATTTTAAACAAATAATATGCTAAAGGATCTAGCATATTTTAGATTAATACTGCTCAACTTAAAAAGGAAAAAAGTTGGAGTACTCTTAGATTGTGAACTAATTAGAGGCATCTGTTAGTACTTGGTAGACATGCAATTGTCTGTTAAATAAGACCTTTCAACGCTTACTGTGTTATGGTTATGTTTAGAACTTTGTGCTTTTACTTTAACACTTTATTCTATTTTCATGTAGCCAAACATTTCAGTAATGCAGAGTCCTCTTGTTGGAGTTATGACAACTACTCCTACTCCTGGAACAGGTAAATAACGCTGTTTAACATCAGACTCTTCTCTCCTCTTTGAGATAATATAAGACTTTGTTGATCATTGCCAAAATTTTTTCTTTTATATTTCAAACTCGGAGACTTTCTCAAATGTTAGTAACTTCATTCAGAGAGGAAATACTTTGTATATTGGCTTTTTTTTTTTTCTGAATTTATAGGTAGGATGTGATAGTCTCAAAATATTAAGAGTTTAAAAAAAACACTTTTTTTTTAAAAGATTTATTTATTTATTTGAGAGAGAGAGAGCATGAGTGAGGGAGGGTCAGAGGGAGAAGCAGACTCCCTGCTGAGCAGGGAGCCCGATGCGGGACTCGATCCTGGGACTCCAGGATCATGACCTGAGCTGAAGGCAG